TGGCAATTCGAAAGTTTCACCCACAAGGCTCCCAAGCCTCCCAGGCACAGGCGGAAGAGGTTTAGCCAAATGCCTATTCCCATGGAGCGCAGACGTCAACACGTGTCCTGCGCTCGCAGCGAGCACTTGTTCTCTTGCATTTGTCTGCCACTGGGCAGAGTCGCGAAGGGAGTTTTGAAGTTGCTTGCGCGTCACTCCAAAGTGGATGCCAGTCAGGCTACACAGTTCCAGCAGCAGAAGAAGAATCGGCAGGACGAGATCAAGGCGGCGAAGCTTTCCCCTCCGACTGGACAGCTGCATCCTAACATATCCTAACCATGCTCTCCAGATAAGGGGATTGCAAACGCAGTGGCGATGGCCAGGCGGTCCAGGCTGCTCTGAAAGCTCTTCGAGGCAACTCGTACAACTGATCGCATGTAACAGAAACATCATGATGGAACGAGAAGTGGGCCATTTTGACGCTTTGTGATTTCGTGATTTGCTCGCAGGCATCATGGACACTACTGCTGCAAAACAGGGCCTCTTCAGCTTTCTGCAGCTCCTTGGACTGCCCCAGGAATAAAGCTTTTCTGGCGATATCAGTTCGAGGCTCTTACACTTTCTGCTGTGCCGGCTGCCAGCTCTCTGCGCATGCGAGACATCTGGGCTCGTCTTCCGTTACTCTGGCAAGAACCTTTCTCTCCTCACCACAAAGTGTGGCTTTCCAAGGATGGCCTCCAGCTCCAGCCGAGCACAGGCACTGAAGTCTCGCCATTTGCGTCCACGTCTGACCACTGTTTTTTGTTGAGACGAGCGAACCAGAAGTCGTGCTGGCTAGAGACATTGGATAGAGAGTTTGGTTGGTCCATTCGAAGAATTTCTGCAAGGCTTCAAGCCAGACTGTGACAAAGCTGGCTTTGAAGCGCGTACAGCAGTTAGCTGTCAGCCTGAAGCAGGGTGGCTCAGTGTCCCGTCTTCTTGCGTGCAGTAAAGGAGTTCTCGTTTCGGTGTGATTTTTATGAGTTGCATGCGTCTGGCCGCTCATGCCCAGCAGATAGAAAGCATGATATGCATACAGCTGGAAGCTAGAAGCTAGCCCTTGTTCTTCAGGTCAACGGTGGAGCCCTCAGAGGACAGGTGTCACACACTATCGCAATCTCACTGCATACTTCTCACCAGAAGCTGTGCATAGATGCTTCTGAGGCTCTGGACAAGTTGGCCTCTAGAATGCGCATGGTGACCCGTTACGGTAGCGCAGACTTGATTTTTCCTCTCTCCTGCTTCCTGGTGTCTTGTGCTGGTAGAGGCAGTGTCTGTCGCGTGAGCGTGGAAGCTTTGCATGTGCTTGCTGAGGGACCTGCCTTTGATGTGCAAAGCTTGTGGTGACCTGGCAGGCAGTACGGGCGACGTCTTTGGGAAAATGCGCAAGCTCATCCAGGAAGTATTTCGACTTTCTTTGTTCCTTTTAGAGACTGCAGAATGAGCAGCTTGGTGATGATGAGCGTTCAACAGCCATTGGGCTCCTAGCACGTGCATGGTCAGCGTCAGAAGTTCAGAAGGACCTAAGCTGCTTCATGAAGCTGCAGAGCTGAATTCCAAGTGAGGTATCTTCGTGATCACAAAAAACAGTGAGTCAAGTGTTAACCGTCCCGGAAAATCTTTTTGCATGCGCAGCTTCTGCGCATTGCAGCCAAAGCAACTGGCAGTGAAAGGGTGCCTTGGTGGGATGCTTGCTTACTCTCAGCATCTTCGGGTGTTCATGGAGCTTGCTGAGTTGCTGGTGTACCTATACTTAAATGCTTTGCATCGTGTCCGCTGATGCTGTAGTCAGGGGCACCTTTTGGGCAGGGCCATTTTTAGGGCAATCGAACTCGCTTCATCTGCCATTTCATGAACTCTTGCAGAAGGTTCCGCGCCTTTTCTACAATGGCACGTCCAAAGCTCACATATTTGGTAGGGTACCCAGAGCTTCTTTCCATGCAGGATGCAAACCAAGTGCTTTGCTGTTCGGAATCTCCAAGGACACCAAGATGTTGGCTGAACCGATCAGACTTACCTTCTTCGTCAGGGCCTGGTCCAGGCTTTTAAGTTTCGGATCGCAGCAGGACGCGGCAACGTTGATGCTGTTCATTGCTGCTCAGGTTGGCAACGTTGACTTTGAGGATCGGCGAGTGTCCCATCAGGAGCTTCGAGCCTGAGAGCACAACCTTTCAGCATCTTTCAGCTCTGTGAGCATTGCATCGCAGTGCTGCTGTCTAGGAGGTGCAGGAGATGAATCTGCAGGGACAGCTACCCTTTGGTCAAGTCCCCGCGGACCGGCTGCAACAATGCCGACTTCAGGTTTCTGAGCGTTGCTGCTGCTTTCCCGGCTTCCGGCTTCCCCTTAGGTGCTCGAGGTGGATGGGCAGGCCTGCTACCAAGCTTGGCCATGGCTCTGCAGCTTGCCATTTTCATTGTAGTTGCTGTCAGTCCATGGAGCCGCTACGCTGCATCAGGTGTTTGCTCAGACAGAAGCCTTGCTCCGCTGGGCAGGGAGGAAGGCGCGGGAGGTTTCAAGGCTTGGACTGTCTTGGCACAGCCTTTGCCTGCAAGGCGGGTCTCTACCCTGAAGAGCCCAAGCTCCAACTGCGCTGCGATGCCGTTGAGGCACTTGTTCATGTTCCATGTCATCTCGCCACGAAATCTCGTAAGTCATCCTGCTGCCAGGGCAATGTTGTATGTTGCTGCCGCAGCCATTTGGAGCTGAAAGTTTAATGCAAAGTGACTGGCAAATATGTATTTCATTGATTCAACAGAACCGGTCAGAATATAGGCATTTGCTCCTACTGCAGAGCAAGAAAGTTGCAAGATCAAGGAGGCCACGCAACGTTTGCCTGCGAGCTTGTAACTGCTGACCTCTCCATCTCCGGATGAACAAGATTCCAAGAGAGTCTTGATCATAACGTCCCTGATGCCATGGAATCCAATCAAGGTGGCAATGCCGTTGACTTCAATGCTGCTTGGACAGGCCATCAGTATGGCATGCGCTTGACATGCAGACCGTATTTGAAGATCGGGAATGCGGGAGCTTGCGAGCAAGCCCGACTGCGACCAAGGAATCTGGACAGTCTGGAGATTCTTTGGGACCGGGCTTCAGCATGAAGCTTCGCGCATAGACGTAACATGTCTAGCGTGATGTTGTGATAATTTTGCTTGTGCCTTGCAGAGTCAGGCATAAACTGATACTTGTCACATAGCAGCCCAAACACTTGGCTTTGAAGCTTCCAAACTGCTGACGCAACTCAGATTTCCTGCCATGAAGGACCCATTGCTGAAAGTGGCGAAAGCACTGATGCAACCAAGTGGACCACTGGTGTGAGAGGCACCCAAGTGCGATGCCCGCATCAGCCTGCGGCTTCCGTAATTCTTGCCAATAGTCTGCCAATCTTCTTCCGTCCTCATGAATGGCGGCGCATCTAATGTTGACATTTGTTCTTGCGCCCGCTGCTGTGCTTTGAGCCTGTAGGCCAGAAGAAGCAGCATGGAGAGCAGCAAAAGCGAAATACGCGATTCACAGTCGCCGAGACAGTGCTTCCCCGGATTGAGGACGATAGTGTGCCGGAAGCTCCCCATTACTCTCTACCAGTCACTCGGCTCAACGTCGTACAGCTGGCTTTTTCCCCTGACGGACCCAGGCACCCTGACCTTAGCTCGGCACCAAGCTCAGGCTCGTCCTGGCGGCGTCATTGAATTTGGCGAGTTGCAGTTCGGACAGAAAATCCTACTGAGTCCTACTGCTCTGCAGGTGTTCCTTTTTGTTCGCCCGCAGAGTTTCAATGTGCTGGTGATTTGAGTGTGACACCTCTTGGCGGAGAGAAGTGATGGTCGGGAGCCAAGGGTGGACCTCCTGAGCGCGCGGCACACCGAGGCCAGCAGCTAGTCAGCTACTGTAGGATCAGCGAGGCTAAGAGGCGATGATTCGGATTTTTCATCCCTCGGCTCCGAGCTTGCTCGGCAAGCGCGGTTCAGACTCACGAGCTCATAGGGTTCATGGGGTTCTCTTGGTTGGTGCCATTCTACGACGCTGAAAGAATGGGCATTGACGGAGTGAACTTGGGAAGTCCTTTTACCGTCTCTCTGATCTAGCTGCAGGTCATCTCCCGGCTCTCTGCTCAGGATGAGCTACCCGGCTGAGCTGTCACAGCTGTCCGGGTAATGTTCCTGAAAGCAGAAGTGCCTTGGGAGTCCTGAGGATGAAAGTTTCATGATGGGTGATTTTGATTAGGAAAGGATTGAACGGATGCTGCTGCTTCACATTCAAACGGCCACTGCATGTTTTCAGACTGCACTCAGGATCCTCAGACGTCTGGTTCAGGGGCCGCGGAGCCGTGCGGAGGCTTGCCGGTCTGATCCAGAATGGGTCGCCGAAACCTACGCAGCGCACGTTGTGGATTTTTCCAAACTGCAGGCTGCGGCGGGTGTCACTGAGGATGCTATTGCCAACGCCGCCAGTGCGCTGACTGCATTTTGCAGCGCGTTTGTTTCCTCAGAGGCGGTTGATTAGATGGACAGGCACCAGATACGTTCATTGACCAAGGTATTTTCCCGCATCCTTCTGCAACGAAACAGGCCGTACGAAGCACGAGAAGCACAACCAGAAGCACGGTGAGAAGCCGGGGCTCAGAGATGAAGCCTAAAGCCGCTTGCTGAAAATTGAACGAGGTCATCCCCCCACCCATCATCGCACCCTCGTACCGCCTGTGCCACTCTCTCTCTGTCTCCTTTGCTCTTTCTCGCTACGGCGCTCTCTCCCTCTCTCTCAGGTTGTCTAGTTCTTCCTTTTTGCGCGAAGTGGTATACCCCGTCGCACGATGTCTTCCTCGCTCTTTCTTCCCTCTGCCCCTCTTTGTCTGCCTCTTGCTTTGCCCCCTCTTCACCCTCTCCATCTCCCTCCATCTCTCTCCATCACCCTCTCCCTCCGGCTGTCTCGTCCGTGCGTGACATTTGCTGCCAGCAGATGCTGTGCTTTGTGAGGGAAGCGAATGTCAAAGTCGCCCGAGTCTTGCAAGGCCTCCATTGCGCTGCGCCCAACTTTCTTCCGCACTTTCACACAAGTGGACAACTCGCTCCGCCATGCTGCTTCAGCAGTTGCGGCTTCGCGAGCGCGTACACGCTTTGCCTCGAATCAGTTCGGATCGGACTCAGTTGGCGATGGAAAGATAAGCTGCATTGTGCGAGTGGTTGACAACGTTTGGTTTGATTTCTTTTTTGCGGCTCTGGTTCTGGTGAACTGTGTCTTCATTGGCATCTTGGATGCACCTTTGGCCAGCTTTGCGTTATTGAGTGTTATCGTCAGTTAGTCCAAGGAACTCAGAGTCAGGGTCTCAAAACATCCTAGGTATTGAAGTTCAGCATGCAATCGCACATCCGCATTCCAAAGCAATCGGCTTCTATGTGGTCCAGTGCCTTAGACTTGCATCAGAAGCGTGAGCCTAACTTTTGGCAACCTCTGCGTGCAGTCACTTTAGCAAACGCTTTGAGTCAAAGAAAGCTTTAGGTTTTGTTGCTCTTCTTGCCACTTTGCAAGATGAGGTACTTGCTTGCAAGCCTTTTTGCTTTGGAGCTTGTTTTGCGACTTTGTGCCTACGGATTTCGCGAATTTTTCTTCGGGCCAGATGGGCTTTGGTCGTTGCTGGATGCCTTCATCGTGTTGAGCTCTGTCTGGGATGTCGTCCTGGATCTCATATTCTTGTGGGAAGCTTCGGGCTCCGACAATCCGGTGTCAACGCTAAGAGCTTTGCGAATCCTTCGCCTGGCCAGAATCGTCAAGGCAGTTCGTTTAATGCGTGTGTTCCGCTTCGTACGGGCGCTCCGGCAGCTAAACTGCAAAAAGTAGAGAGGCGATCCTGCAGTTTTTCCATGCCCATGGTTGAAATATCAGGCAGGCTGCGGCGTGCAGGGAAGAAACCAGTTTTGAGCTGAGCAGACCAGGACACTTATCAGCTCCATCTTTCATACGTTGAGATCATTATTTTGGGCACTGGTGCTGATGGTTCTGATCGTGTACGTTTTTGGCCCTTGCCTCAGCTGCCCGTTCAGATGTTCCGAAAGTTTTTTCTTCACTTGCGAATTTCAATCTTGAGAATCATTATGTAGATGAGGTGTGCTGTTCAGCCAAGCCGTGAACAGCCACATCTTGGATCCGGAAAGTCCTCCTCTCACTGGTTTCGCTTTGGAGGTGAGAATGCTGTCAGATGTCATGGTTGAAATCTTCACAAAAACCATGCGTAAACAGCGCGCAGGCGGCTTCCAAACATTATTATTCCCTTTCTGGGACCATGCTGAGCTTATTTATGTGCATCTCGGGTGGCACGAATTGGGAAAACGTCCTGGTGCCATTGCTGCTCGATTAGATTCAGTGCTGTGCAATCATTCTTCCGACGTGATGTGCTGCTATCTTCGACCCAACTAAGGAGATCGATATCTGAATTTTGGGTATTTCTTTTCATATTTTATGTAGCATTTACATACTTCGCGGTCCTAAACGCAGGGAGCTTAATTGTTGCCATGGCTCAGTTCTAGGTACAGCTTGCTTGACATTGTTCGCGTATCGCATAAAGTTGCAGTATTTTCTGGGCTGCAAGCGCAGCGTACGTGCGCAAACAGGTTGACGGTTTGGTTTGCATTGCAGAATGTGATGGATTGCGAAGGAGCTCCAATGTTTTTGTTTGCTTCTCGCTTTTGGTTTGTAAATCGGTTCTCGTCAGGTAGACACCTGTCGTGAACACTTTCGCCAAGATTGCTGGGTGATCAGACAAAAGCTGCGAGCGTGCTCACATGTCAATGGACTTCGGGAACATTCACGCATCATTTGAAGCACACTTGCTTGACTATGGTTGACTTGTCTTTTCAAGATGCCCAATCTGGAAATATACACCGTCACATAGAAAGATTGCGTGATCCTTTCCGGTCAATCAGCTCCTCAGGGGCCTTCATGTGTCAAGTTTCTCGCAGGGCAAGTCATGGGAACGTCTACAGGTCACCGCTGCGGGGCAGGCTCCAGAGGCATGAAGCCCCCTGCCAGCGACGGCGCGCCTTGATCTCTAAAGGCCACCGCTGCTGCCCCCAAACACGATGCCCTCGACCCCATGCTCGCTCTTCCCGCGCGAGCAGCCCTCGAAACACCTCCGCGCGAACCTGGGCACCAGACCGGCTTCATGTTGGAAAGTTCATCCGTCAAAAACTGTAGGTCAAGTCCAAACGTCAAGATGCCTTCCGAACTCACCTTCATCGTTGCAGACGATTGCGTCAGCGCAGATCTATCATGACCCTCACCTTCTTGGTCTGCTTCTTCAGTTCTCAACGCTTCGATGCGAGCCTGCAAGCTCTGCATCTGCTGGCGTGGGAAAGGTGGAAAGTCTTCAAGGAAAGCTAAGGAGAGGGATGATATGCAATGTCGCAGCGGGAATGCAAAGGGTTAGTCTCGGGAATTGGGATGACAGTGAACAAAGCCGAGAAGATGATGACCAAGAAGTTGTTGAAATAGAGGATGAGAAGAACGGCCCGAAAGATCGAGTGAGAGTCATACGAGACGCATAGCTGGACAAGGTCATTTCAACACTCAAAGGGTATTGGCTTTGTGGAGAGAGTTCATGGACTACGAGGAGGACGATGAACTTGGAATTCGCAGTTTGTCAGAGATCGGGTACGTGACACAGTGGACGACTGGAGTGTCAACAATGTCACCATTCTGGCACATCCCTTCTTCCAAGGTTCCATCCATCGCTTGTCCCCATCATCTCGACAACGTCTCCCTTGTTCCGAATCTCGCCCTCCCTTGGGTAGCGTTTTTCCTCTATGTCCATGTCCGGCAACCATCTTGGCTGACAGTTGATCATCTGCAGCCAGATTTGCATGTCGGGCATCACAGGCATCCGCGTCAGATACGGAACTCCCAAGCTGTGACGGTTGGCTTCTTTGCTGGAGGAAAATGGGTTCCTGCGCATTGTCTCCATTCTGGATAGACTCCGCATGTTCATCCACTGAGTTTTCCGCGCCTTGAGCTTCAGCATCGAGTTGCACAGAGGACGCGGGACGTGGAGGTCGTTGCAAGTCCTGGGACTCGTGTTATCACGTAGGGGGAGTGGAGGCATCAACACCTCATCATAGTTCATTTCTGCGGGCGGGGCCATGTCCTGAGGTACACCCCCTTCATTATGACGTCCTCCTCTCAATCTTCTCACACATCTTCTGGATGCTGAGCGGCATGCCCTCCGAACGCGTCCTGAAGCCTTGCGCTACTCAAGTTTGGAAGACGGCTCCGCAGCCCACGGCGAGTCATGGACCCCAAAATCTACGTGAAGTCCGCTGAAATCCCTCGAAGTCTGCCAACCTGAGCTCGGGGCTGTCTGATGTAGTCCACAAGCTCATCTGCAAAGAGGTCGATCCTGTCTTCATCCATTAGGTTTGGTTGGCCACCATCCATTTTGATTAGCCGCACCTTGTCATGCAGGCTGTCTTGTTGGACTTTCTCAACGGAACGCAAAATGCTGACTTTAGTGTTGTTGCCATCAGGGTTCTCGGCGATGTCCTGTCGACAAAGCTGGGACTCTCTTGGTCCCGCGCTGCTCTCCCAATGTTGTTCATCAGAGGGGCATTCAAGGGTAAGCTGCCCTGCCATCATTACGGTCGGAGTGGCGCTGCTACGGGCACTCATTGACAATCTCAGCAATAAAGTTACACGGCATCACTCATGCCACGCGAGACCAAATCACAGCTCCCCGAAACATTCAAGGACACATTACTGCCGCTCAATGGTGGATTGTCTGCCGCTGCACCACTCAATGTCCATGCTTTCCACAAAAAACTTCTCTCTCTGTTTCCAGTGGGTTCTGTCAGCTGCCTTAGCTCGCCGCGGGCCTTGTGATGCTGCGTTCAACCGTTGTTCACGCGGCGTAAGTTTGGGATAGAATCTTCTGGGATGCCTACACCCCCCTTGTTTAAGTTGTTCGCCTTCCCACCGTTCCAACTGGCGCCACGAATCCAACTTTGCGTTTGCCAACTCAACCCTCCCCGTATTCCTATAGCCCTGTGGCCTGCGTATCTCCACACCTCAGTAAGCCACTGGATACTCCAACGTTGTACGGAGCATCCATGCATGGTCGCCCTTGCTTCCCTACGAGCACGAACAAAGTGATCCAACCGTCGTTGCCCGGGATGTCGGTTCCGTCTCCGCATCCAAACGCAAAGTTGCAACTGGAGTTGGTTCACAAGTCCTCGGGCATGTTTGTCTGCGTAATTACACCAGCGCACCACAGCAGGCGTCCTCCCGCTACCCCGCCCAAAACCCATGGCCGTTTTCGAAGACTGTGTTTGCCACGCAGGACGTGTTTCATGCTCAAAAGGCATCCTGTGCTCTGCTGAGTAACGGCACGATCATGCCACACGCAGTCATCGTAACTCCCGTCCTAAGCCCCGTCGCGTCCAACAGGTCGTCTGCGTCAATTCGCCCTGCAATTGTGATGCTTCGCACTCCCTTGACAAACGGACTGCAGTACAACTGGCACTTCTGTAGGTTGATGCTCAACCCCCCACTTGCCCAACTCCCCAGAAAGCTGTTCTACCCGTTTCGACAGCTCATTATCGCCAATGCCCCACATTATGGCATCGTCCATGAAAAGGACTTCACACAACGGAAGTCCTCCTGTCCCCGGCGCTGTTGAATCCCTCGCGTAGTGGCGTAGTGTTGCGCTGTATCATGGAAACACAAGTCGGCAAGGAGGCCAAAAAAAGGCCGGCGACTCGACTGCGCCTTGCTTTATTCCTGCGCGCGTATTGAAGCTGGGCGTGTCCCATCGGGTCTGGAGGTTTGCTCTTGTAGGTTGGAAAAGTGAGCGCCGCGCCTTGGTCAGTCGATTGCGACCCAGTGTACTGAGCAACATTTCCATAAGGCGAATCCTATCGAAAGCTTTCTGAACATCCACTTTGATAAATCGAAGTCCTATGCGCCATTCGCGCTCCAGGCGCATGGGACGCTGCAACGTAAAAATGTAGTCACTGGCTTGGTTGCGCTTGAAAACCGTTTGTGTGTCGCAGAGCTGAGGCAAATCGGGCGCACATTTTTCGCCTGCCTGGATCGTTGAATCTTAGGCAGAATGACCATAACAACTTCGCTCCAGTTTGCAGGCATAGACCCCTCGCGTAGTATACTGTTAAACCAGTGAAGGAGCTGAGGCCCGGCTTCCTCATGTTCAGCAATCTGTTGCAAAAGCTCATTACGCACGCCGTCGCTGCCTACGGATTTGCCTCGAATGCTAGCATGATGGTTAGTCGCAAGAATCCTGCCCCTGTACATTCTTCCCCTGAATGGACCTATGATCCAAGGCTGCGTTGATTTGACTTTGATGCAGAGTGCGTGATCTGCCAGGTTGAAGCAACAGCTGAGACACTGCTTGAGCTGATTAAACTTTCAAGAAACGCGCCCTCTGAGCTTGGCCGCTGCCAGCCGATGCGCAAGCGTTAGTTCTCGAAGTTTTGATACACAAAGCTTGATCCCAAGATAGGTGGCAGACGTGACAATAGGCGTTTGAAGGGACTGCCCAGTGGCCGACCAGAGAAGCAGGCGTGGACTGTCTTTTGTTTTGCGGGCATGTTTTTTCCGCCAAAGTTTGAACTGCCTGCCCCTGCCTGCCAAAATGACTTGGGTCTTGCCACACTGGACCTGGAGGCCAATGGATTTAAGGATTGCCAGACACCTGGCCAAGTTTGGCAGCATCCTGTCAAGTTCATACTTACTGTTAAATTCGTAACGCAGAAGCAAATCGTCTGCAAACGGTGTGGAGCTATCGCGCACCCAGGAGGGGCCGGCCTGATCTCCCATGGCCTTCATGAGCGCAATGGTAATCAACGCCCGAAGAGTAGGGGCAAGCGCGCAGCCTTGACGAACTCCACGAAGGCTCATGATTCTTGCCTCAGGGTCGGACTTGCGTGGGTGACAGCCTATGTTGCTGTGAAGTGTCATGATGATGGCAATATCGTTTGCGTCAGCCCCAGCAGATTTTAGTTCCTCTAAAAGGACCTGTCTATCTATCGTGTCAAACACCTTAGATGTATCTATTGGCACCATAATGCCTCCGCAGCAATTGGTTGGCGCGCGTCCCGTTTCACGTCTGTCTCTCAGCGAGACCTTGGACCGGGCGACCATATCCCTTACCCTGGCGCAATGGGCAACTACGCTGGAGATTGCGTGATCTATACTCCTGCCAGCAATACACGCGAAGTGTGGCCAGCTTGCGGCTGCGTCCGAAACAAGGGGCCGAAGTCTATTGTTGATCGCTTTCGCAAATATTTTCCCTCCGACTTCCGTTCAGGATCGCTGGGTTTATTAGCAGGTTTACCAGGCGTGGGTGGCCAGACCAGCCAGAAGTCGGCCCACAGCGCAGGGGATTGGCTGACATTATCCCAGATCTCTTGACATATATCCGAAAGGGCCGGAAGAACCACCTCGGCACCTATTTTCCAAAGAATCATACTCACAGCACGCGGTG